CCTGCCGGCTTGCGCGTGAGCGCGCGTGCCTTGGCATGTCCGCTTAACGGACGCTTGGCCATGGTCAGGTGCGTCGTCAGTTCTCCGGAATCTCACCGCGTTCCCTAGAACAAGACGTACACGAATATCATGTTCAAGAAATCATGAACCGTGTAACCTGAAGAAGGCTTTGCCCCAAATGACGATATATAGGTGTAGGACGTCAGATAAGACGCTTGCGCACCTAGCTTGCCTTCCCCCTCCCTCCCCGCGCGACCGCGGCGACGCTGCGGCCTCGAGAATGCCGAAGGACCCCCGAGAGGGCCCGAGAGGGCCCCGAGATGACCCCCAATATCCACCACCACCCGCGAGGCTGCCTAAGAGAGGCCGGATATTTCGGTACCGTTTTTTTTCCTTCCACATGCATACCACATGCATGGATGGCCCGAGGTTTTGATCTCTGGAGTTGTCCTTGAAGCACCTTCAGCTTGCATGTGGCATCGGCTGAATTTGTGAGGGTCCATTCGGAGATGTGTCACGCCGATTTGGCTGGCCGTCAGAATCCTTCGGGGAGATCCCATGGTAGCACTGGTGACATCAAGCAGTGCCTCCTCCGAGTGCGCATCGAAGCCGCATCCCGCCGAATCGCAGCCGCCCCCAGCCATATGAACGCGCCCGTGTGGGAGAAACTTTGGGTGCGGGCTGGCCGGGCTACTCCCCGGGCCTTGGTCCGCCGCTGTCACCAGGTCACCCCGTTAACTGGTCACCTGGTCACCCCGTTAACTGGTCACCTGGTCACCTGGTCACCCGGTCAGCCGGTCACCCGCCATCACCGCTTCCATTGTTTTGAATTTCTCCGAGTTGGCCCTTTCCTGTTGTCGATGCGAGTGGTGTACCCTGGGACCAGCCGTTGCCGTGGCGCGGCTTTCCTCCTGCGCTCGTGGCTCCAGCTGCTTTCTTGCCCGTTGCTTCCCCTCCTCGTCCTCCTTCTTCTTCTTTTATTCGTCGCCACTTCCCCCCCTCGTCCCCACGACCCTCCTCTGCCGTTGCTCCCCCAGCGTCTCTCACCATGTTTGTTCTCCTTTTGTTCTCGGTCCTCGTCCTCGTCGTTTTCTTCTGCCTCCTTCCCCTGATATCAGACGTTGCGAAAGAAATGCAACATCGATATAAATCGTGACCAGAACCCTAGATCTCATCTTTTCGCTTCATTTTGCAAGCTCGATCGGTATGTGATGGTCCCTTGGCCCGAACACGGGCGATGACGCTTGGTGACAAAAAAAGTTGCAACGCTCGGATATCAGGGCCTGTCACAATGGTAGAGCGCGCGCGCCACGCGCTATCACTGGGTGGGAAGCGGTGCGCAGACAGAGATCAGGAGGAGGAGGAGGAGGAGGAGGAGGAGGAGGAGGAGGAGGAGGAGGAGAAGGAGGATGGAGGAGGAGGAGGAGGAGGAGGAGAGGAGGAGGAGGAGGAGGAGGAGGAGGAGGAGGAGGAGGAGGAGGAGGAGGAGGAGGAGGAGGAGTAGGAGGGAGTAGGCGGGAGGAGGAGCAGGAGTAGGAGGAGGAGGAGGAGGAGGCAGACCTCGAATCGAGAACAATCGATCCAGAGCGTTCCACAACGCTCTCAGACCCTTCCGGGACGTCCTGAGACGGCCGCGGCGCCCGATGCACCTTCCAAAGCTCGCCGACCCCCAGGCACTCCCGAGCTATATTTCGGTCCGATTTTGTCCCGATCCTGTAGAGAAGGAGGAGGAAGAGGAGGAAGAGGAGGAGGAAGAGGAGGAAGAGGAGGAAGAGGAGGAGAGACTATGACAACGACCAAACATTGTGGGGTGACCTGCGCGCGCCGCAGCCGCTCCGCCACATGAGGTGCTCGGCTAGGGGAACGGAGAATGACACGAGCACAAAAACTCGGAGGTCCGCGCGGATTTCCCGGATCGGCGCTGGGGCCCCCCGGCGGCGCCTCCGGCGCCGCCCCTGGCGCGCGGAGCGCGCCAGGGAAGGGGGATCCAGAGCGGATCCGAGAAATCCGCGTCGACCTCCGAGTTTTATGCTCATGTCATTGTTCGTTCCCCTATCGGGGGGGCGCCCAGAACCGCGCTCCCGCCGCGCGACCGCCGGGTGATGGATGGAGGCGCCACGGGCGGGCACACGGGCCGCCGCGGACAAGAGAGGTGTCCTGGAGGAGAGCCTCGAGATGCGGGCGTGTTATATATATATATATATATATATATATATGCATATATATATGTATATATGTACGTATGCATGTATGTATGTATGTCTGTATGTATGTATGTATGTATGTAGGTATGTAGGTAGGTAGGTAGGTAGGTAGGTAGGTACGTATGTATGCATGCATGCATGCATTCATGTATGTATGTCTGTCTGTCTGTCTGTCTGCATGTATGTATGTATGTAGGTATGTAGGTAGGTAGGTAGGTAGGTAGGTAGGTACGTATGCATGCATGCTTCCATGCATGCATTCATACAATGTATGTATGTATGTATGTATGTATGTATGCATGCATGCATGCATGCATGTATGTATGTATGTATGGATGTATGTATGTATGTATGTATGTATGTACGTATGTATGTGTGTGTGCATGTAGGTATATAGGTATGTATATGTATGCATGTATGTATGTATGCATGCATGCATGCATGCATGCATGCATGTATGTATGTATGTATGCATGCATGCATGCATGCATGCATGCATGCATGTATGTATGTATGTATGTATGTATGCATGTATGTATGCGTGTATGCATGCATGTGGGTATGCATGTATATATGTATGTATGCGTGTATGCATGTACGCATGTTTGTCTGTATGTGTGTACGTGCGCACGCACGCACGCACGCACGCACGTATGCATGCATGCATGCATGTCTGCCTGCCTGCCTGCCTGCCTGCCTGCCTGTCTGTCTCTATGTCTGTATGTCTGTATTTCTGTATGTCTGTATTTCTGTATGTCTGTATGCATTTATGTATGTATGTATGTATGTATGTACGTATGTATATGTGTATGTATATGTATATATATATATATATATATATCTCTATATATATGTATGTATTTGTATATATACATGTATATCATTTCATGTGTGTGCATAAGCCTACACATACACATATCTATACACATATGTATATATATATATAACATACCGACAGTTTTGGCCTCGTTCCCAGGCCCTCGTCTTTTATTTGTTGAAGCGGCTCGACAAGTGCCGAAGGAAGATGGGATCTGGCATTCGGGATTTCTCGCGGTGTTGCATTTATGTGGGGCAACGTCCGATCTCAGGGGGTGGAGGGAGGAGAGGAACAGAAGGATAACGAACATGGGGAGAGACGAGGTGGAGTAAGAGTGGAGGAGAGTTGTGGACGGCTCCAAACATGCCGCAGAAATATTGGGTCTGGCGCTCGCTATTTCTCATGTTTTTTTGTTTTCTTTTTTGTTCGTTCCCACAACGTCCGATCTCGGGGGCTCTGGCGTAAAGGGGCCCCGATCTCCTTGGTTTTCGAGGCCCCCCTTCCCAGCCACGGTGGCACTCAAAATGGCCTAGGTCCCTGCGTGCCGCATGGGCGGGGTTGCGCAGCATGCGCTGCCCTCCTCATCTCCTCTGCGACGTCCTCGCTTTCCTACGCCTGGGAGGTGTCGATCGTGGCTGCTGACGGCATGGGTGAGCCTAGGGATGTGGCGTGAAGCCGAGTGGTAGCGTCAAGAGGGGGAGGAGGAGCAGGACGAGGAGGGTGAAGTGTAAAAAGCACGGGTTGATCGGGTTTTGTCCCAGGCCCTTCCCTCGGTCCATCCTGGCTTGTCTATCCTTCTGGTTCGATTCGGACGGCCCCCAGGCCCGAGACGGTCGCCTTGGGGCCGAAAGTGGCGGAGGACCGCCTCGTCTCGTGCTCCTCCTGCTCCTCGTCCTCCTCCTCCGCCCTCCCCGCCCTCGCCCCCTCCCCTCGCGCTCCCCTCGGGGAGTCCGGAGGTCCGAGGTCGTGGAACAGTGTACACTTCTCGGGGCCCTGGGCCCCGCCTCCCTGCAGCGCCTCTCGACCTCGAGCCAGAGCGATCCGGTCTCGGGCCGCGGGGCCCGATGGCCGGGCGACGGCGCCCGCGGTGTGAGCAGAAGTCCTTCGGCGCTCCGCGCGGATGCCTTGGATCGGCAGTGGACCCCCCCGCTCCCTGGCGCGAGGAGCGCGCCAGGGGCGGCGCCAGGGGCGCCGCCAAGGGTCCCAGCGCCGATCCGGGAGGTCCGCGCGGAGCTCCGAGAGGTCACATATATGTTCGTGCCGTGGTGTCCTCCGCTGCTGCCGGGTGCTGGGCCTGGGGCTCTCCTCGGTCGGCGTGCGCGCGAGGAGAGCGTGGAGGCCCACCTCGGCGCCAGGCTCTCAGGGGCCTCCTCGGACCCCCCTCGTCGTGGCGTCTCCGGGCCCCTCTCCCAGGACCGGTTTTCCTCCCGAGGCGATGTTTGGCGGCCCCGAGGTCCGGCGAGGGCCCTCGGATGCCGAAAATAGGGCAAAACCTCCTGTCGTGATTTTTTTCACGACGCGAGGGGGTCTCGCTCCTTTTCCCCATTGTTGTAGTTCCTCCGTCCTCCTTTCTCGGTAGGTACGAGGCATGCCTCTGTTCCTTTTGACCGTTTGACCTGTTCACCACCTCCAACAGGTATTCCGCGACCTGAGCATGTTGCCGTTGCAGAGTGTGTGTCGCCCAGAGGGTTGTTTCAGTTCTCCCTGAGGGAAGAAAAGGTCCCTCGTGTCTTCCCCGCCACGCCCTCGGGCTCGCCTCAAGTCGGGCATGTCCCTCTACAGGAGGAGTATTCAAAAATAGCAGAAAAATTGTATGGGACCGATGTTCCAACTTTTTTGTGGGCCAATTTCAATTTTTCTTTCAAAATCCGGCTGTAGGAGGACATGCCCGATCTAAGTCTCGCCCTATCCCTCGGGCGCCCCGAGCGTCCCGCCCTCTCCGCGCCCCCCGCGCGACCGCCGGTGTCCGGCACTGCGAGGCGCCGCCGTGCCGCTCCGCTCCATCCGGCGGGCGACGCTCCTATCGCCAGGGCGGGGCGCCGCGCTGGACCTCCAGAGGCCTACCGCCTGAGGATCGAGGAGGAGGATCGAGGAGGAGGAGGAGGAGGATCGAGGGGAAGGAGGAGGAGGAGGATCGAGAAGGAGGAGAAGGAGGAGGAGGAGGAGGAGGAGCAGGAGGAGGAGGAGGACGAGGAGAGCATCGAGGGGGAAGCGTGGGCGATTGCGAGCGGCTGCGGCGGTGCTGCGAGCGGCTGCGGCGGTGCTGCGAGCGGCGGCGGTGCGGCGAGCGGCGGCCGGCTTAGGCTGGGGCTTCGCGGGATGGGGCCCGTCACCGCCGTGCCCGGCCTCGGCTGGGCCGCGGTGGCGCTGGGAAGCCCGCCTTCTCTGCTGTATTGTGAAGGCCTTACGGCTGGTGCCGCCGACCCTGAAGGTTTTGGCCGTCGATGGCGACAGGATGTGTGATCACAGGAAGGAGCTAAAGGACAACGTGTCAAGGCGGAGGAAGCGTGTGAGGAGGAGGAGGAGGAGGAGGAAGAGGAGGAGGAGGAGGAGGAGGAGGAGGAGGAGTAGGAGGAGGAGGAGGAGGAGGAGGAGGAGGAGGAGGAGGAGGAGGAGGAGGAGGAGGAGGAGGAGGAGGAGGAGGAGGAGGAGGAGGAGGAGGAGGAGGAGGAGGAGGAGGAGGAGGAGGAGGAGGAGGAGGAGGAGGAGGAGGAGGAGGAGGAGGAGGAGGAGGAGGAGGAGGAGGAGGAGGAGGAGGAGGAGGAGGAGGAGGTGGAGGAGGAGGAGGAGGAGGAGGAGGAGGAGGAGAGGAGGAGGAGGAGGAGGAGGAGGAGGAGGAGGAGGAGGAGGAGGAGGAGGGAGGAGGAGGAGGAGGAGGAGGAGGAGGAGGAGCAGGAGGAGGAGGAGGAGGAGAGGAGGAGCAGGAGCAGGAGGAGGAGCAGGAGGGAGGAGAGGAGGAGGAGGGAGGAGGAGGAGGTGGAGGAGGAGGAGGAGGAGGAGGAGGAGGAGGAGGAGGAGGAGGAGAGGAGGAGGAGGGGGAGACAAACGAAAAGGATATGGAGAAGGTGGCAAAAGACGCTCAGGAGGAGGAGGAGGAGGAGGAGGAGGAGGAGGAGGAGGAGGAGGAGGAGGAGGAGGAGGAGGGAGGTGGTATTCTGACCCGGGACACCCCCAGGACCCCCCCGGGACCCCCCAGGACCCCCCGGGACCAGGACCCCCCCGGGCTTCCCCGGGACCCCCCTCCCCCCCCTGGCCAGGGAATCGAACAAAGGGAAGGGAAATTTCTTCGAGTTAATTTACTTTACGCTGGAGGAAGGGATGAAGGAGGAGGAGGAGGAGGAGGAGGAGGAGGAGGAGGAGGAAACGAACGAGAAGGAGACGGAGAAGGTGGGAAAGGGAAAAGGAGGCACGGACGAGAAGAACAACCCATTCCACACGCCGACAGGGTCGGTGGATTCCCCTCCGTTCGGTCGTGCGCCCCCCTTGCCTCCTCGCCTCCCTCCCTCCTCCCTCGCCCCTCCCTGCTCCTCCCGTCCTCTCGCTTGCTCCTCTTTCCTCCTTCCTCTCCTTGCACTTCCCTCCTCCTCGTCGGCCCCCTGCGCCCTTTCCATCTTTCCCCGTCGTCGTCATCGCCGTCGTCGTCCTCGTCGTTGTCGCCCTCCGTCTTCTTCTCCACCTCTACCCGTCCTGCTGCTGCGTTCAAGGTTTATAGAGGGAGAGGCGCTCGCGAACACGCATACATGGGGCAGACCTGTGCAGCAAGCATCCCGCGTGCACGGCAAACTTTTGTCTTACCATTTTGGCGTGCACCTGTCTTCACCACCGCCGATCTCCCGTCATGTTTTCAAGCCAAGATTCAGCCAGTTGTGATCTCCGCAGCGTGGAATGCCACAGGTTACGTCCAGTCTTCTTTGGACGGTCCTCAGTGGTCATGTTTTGTTTGCGTCGGGGGCTGCCGCTGCGGTTTTGGCAGGCTCTGTCACGGTGGGTGCTGCGCGATACATCGTCGACGTGCGTGTGCAGCGGATTCAGAAAGTGTTTAACTGGGGGAACGAAACATGGCATACACATAAAAGCTCGCGGGTTTCTTGGATCCGCGCTGGACTCCCCTCCCTGGCGCGCGGAGCGCGCCAGGGGCGCTGCCGGAGGCGCCGCCAAGGGGCCCCAGCGCCGATCCAAGAAATCCGCGCAGGTCTCAGAGTTGTTTCCTCCCTTCTGTGAAGGCTAATCCAGCAGGTTCTCAGAGCCTGGCTTGACATCTTCTGGCAATTTTGGTGTGTACGAAGGAGTCCCAGAATACAACCAGACGCAGTGTAATTCAAGAGGTGCGCGTGTTTTTTTCGCACAGTCGGAAATAGAGGTGTCGTTCGTGACAGCGTCGGCCTGCCCCGTGTGGTTGGTTGTGGCAGGTCCTGAAAGGATAGCCGACCACACGCCGAAACGCTGGAGACGGACTGGACCAGGGGTGCCCGAAAGAGTTGGCATACTCATTCGACCAGAAAGGAGACCAAAGGAAGTTGCGCAGTCAACTGCTTCTCGGCGACCCTGGCGCGGCATAGCCGTTGCCAGGCGAACCTGAGGCGGGTGTACAAAGAATGCCTTGTATGTTGCACTAATATGGATATGCTTGGCAACTGACTCTCAGAGTTATTATGTTCATGCCATTGTTTGTTCCCCTCATAATCGAGACGCCGGCAAGTCGGGCAGGGTGCTGAGGAAGCGTGCCAGACTTCAAACGGCACGGGCTCGAACGCCTCCCACGTCCGAGAGCTTCGGCGCCTCCACGCTGGAGCTGCAAGCTTGAACGTTTTACGGCGGGCAGCTCTTCGTCGGCAGGTGGACGGAGGAGGAGGAGGAGGTGGAGGAGTAGGAAAAGGAAGATGAAGAGGATGATGTCAAAAGAACGAGGACGGAGGAGGAGGAGGGTGTAGAGAAGAGGGATGGGGGACGAGGGGCGAGGGACGGGTGTTTGAGGGCGAGGATGAGGATGACGGTTGGTCAATAGAGTTGTTGCCCTTGAGGCGTGGTACCTACTCTGGTGTCGGCTGCGAGTCGGAGCGCGATCCCGATGCCGGCCTCGACGAGCACGAAGAGTTTTTGCGCAGCATGGGCAAGTTTAGGCGGCCCCCTCTTTTGTCCTGCCTCCCCCCTCCTCCCCTACTTCGTCCTCTCGTCGGCCGCAGTCCAGTAAGTCCTTCGAGTCCTCGGCTGCAGTCTTGTAGTCTTGCCTAGGCTTGCGGGTGCGCGCTCATGCAGGCCCCGAGAATTTGCACTTGCAGCAGCAGCTCGAGCGTGCAGTCAGTCGTTGGTTATGTGGCCCCAGGGCTCCAGCTTCGCATCGGCACCACCTAACAGATTTACACATTGCGTGCGCCGGCCCCACAATGGCGTCGCGCGTGCTCACAAAGCGTATAGTATAATCTCCGCTTCGTGCGCTTGCTGGCCATGCCGTTCGGGAGACGATTTGTTCGAATAGGTGTGTGGTGTATGTCCAATATCAGCATCATCATGTAGCACCAGCATGTCCTCCTGCGTCCCCCACAGCAAAAGCAGGAACTCCAGACTCAAACCCAGCTTCTGACCCGCGCCGCGCTGCTCCAACTTCTCCCCTCTGCTCCCGAGCCCGGGCGCTGCCACAACTGGCCGCGCCGCGCCGCTCGGGCCCACGGCGGAGGGCATCTCTTGTGGGGCGGCTCTGTCGGCTTCAGCTCCGGCCGCGGCCCGCGGCCCCAGCACCGGACCAGCTAGTCTTCGCCCGTCGTCGCTGGCGATCGTGGGCCGCCGAAGCATGCCTCGCTCCTGCCCGCAAGGAGGTCTTTTTCTTTTCCAGCTCACATTACCCTTAAAGTGGGGCATGTCCCTCTACAGGAGGAAGATTCAAAAAATAGTCAAAACATGGTACGGGGACGTTTTTTTCGATTATCTCTGATTATTTTCGAGTACTTTCTTTTTTTAAGATTTCTTTCCCTCAAAATCCGCCTGTAGGAGGACATGCCCGACCTAACATTACCCACAAAACTGCCCGACAAGAGACGTCGGCGTGCCGGCGGGCCCCATCCTCGAGTGGTCGTTGGCCTCGCGCCTGTGAGGCGACGCAGCCCCTGGTGGCCAGCCGAGAGGTAGCTGTTATTCCCCCCGCGGCGCCTGCCAGCCAATGTCTCGGGGCTGTGTTGCCCTGACCCATGCTAAGGAGATCGGCGGCGAGCGAGGGGGGGAAATGAGAAGGAGAAGGCAATCTCAGAAGGCGGCGGGACTTCACAGAGGCCCTCGCGCCTTCGAGAAGGTTTTTCTGTCTTCGAGGAAGGCTTGGAAAACTTCTCAGAAGACTGGGGGCCTTCCGAACCTTTGAGAAGGCCTTCTCCTTCTAAATTCCCCCTCTCGCTCAATTCCGTTTATAGCGCGCTCAGCGTCCAGTAGTTGATAAGGTAGCGCCGATTCAGCGTCGATTAGCGTCGAGTCGCGTCGACTAGCGTCAATTAGCGTCGCTTTGCAGAGGCAAACACGATGTGTGATGTAGTGTGATTGTGTGTGTGTTTGTGCATGACACGTACGTGCGCCACTCGCTGTCGTTCGTCCCTCAGGGGGCCCTTTGTTAAGGCACAACAAGTATTATACATCACAGTGGCAGCGGAGCCTGCTACATTGTCTTCGGAGACCGCCCCACTGCGCAGGACTTGTCTCTCCAGAGACAGTTCCTCACGGTCATCACATCGTACTTCGTACTTGCTTGAGCACTGACCCTTACCATTGGACTGTAGACTGTCTTGCTATTTGCCTGCGCACTTGCCTGCTCCACGACGTTGGTTTTTTTTCTCGATATTGAGCACATTCCGGCTCACTACCAAGATTAGAGACGAAAAACGGTTTCTACATATGACGGTCCAGTGATAAACTTTCACGAATGGGACTTCCCCGCGGATGCGCACGAGTGTTGCCCTGGTCGCCGTTGAGCCTGCAACGGGAGAGCCACAGCCACATGCCGTCACAACAGCCGTCAGTAAGGTGATAGAGGGCCTCAGAGGCGATGTGTGCGATATGCCCGTGGATATCGACAAGTATGCGCTTCTGACTACGACAGGCATCGATCAGCTGATAGTGACGATCCGTCCCTCGCTCTTTCCCATAATAGCCCACGCAGCCAATATCCTCTTCCAAGTAGGACGGAGACCCTACGGACCAATGTCCCGACAGAACGGTGCGTTTATGGTCTCGTACATGTCACGTAGGCAGCGCTGGTGGAAACTTGTTCGTAAACTCGAGCCGAACCGCATCATGAGTGACGACATGCTTGGAGCTCTTCTCTTTGGACCATGCGGGCCTTTCGCCTTCGGATAACTTGGTGGTAATGGCATCAACGGGAAATGTGACCACCGTCGACAATATTAATGACGCTTCGATCTTCCAGCACGGTTGTATCCACATTCGCCAAAATGGTAAAGGAGACTCGGGCAAACACTGTAATGCCATTCTAAGGGCAAGGGCACGGCCAGGTACTCTAGACCACCGCAGGCGTACCACGCTGCTGACGACAGCTGGTATGGGCAGGAGGAGTACTGGCCCGAAAAGTTTGGTCCCTATGGTTAGTACGCGTCTGGTTTGACACATGAAAACGGCTGGGGCGACGAATCTAGGTAAACAGACACTTGGACAGACGACCAAACCTGGGGCGATGGCGATCCCCGCGCTGGCTGGACATCTACATTGTGCGGAAAAGAACTTGACGCTGATGTAATGAAGGAAGGGGTCAATCACGGCTGCAAGGAAGAAACAACTTCTGAGATGATCCAGTCGCGCGGAGACGACTTGGTAGCCAACTTTGGCGCCAAAGGCAGAGGCAAGTGTAGAGGCGCAGGAAAGGGTCACCGCTGGCAACTTTCATCGCCCAGGGGCCGTGGCAAAGGATCGCCGACACTGGAAGAGCGTAAAGCGCGCTTACAGGAAATCATGAAACGATCGCGGTGTAAAACTTGTAACGAGATTGGCCAGTGGTTTGGGGGCCCCGAGTGTATTTGCAAACCCAAGGTGGCCATGATAGCGCGCGCCAGTGAGTGACCGCTCCGACTGCGCGAGGACGGCGACGACGAACAGTTCGCGCCGGCAAGATCCGTTGCGGTATCATCCACCACTCGTCATCCTCATCACGACGCCGGTAAGGCGCCACATACCACAACCTTCTTTTGCTCCTCCTTCTCGTCACTTGTTGTGTACTGTTTTCGAGCATGTTTGAGTGCACGAGAGAAATGCAGCAGGCAGTGTTGGTTGATGATGGGACGTGCAGAGGAGCATGTTTGCGAGAGTTGCTCCGGGGACGCCCTGCTGCCCGAAACCATTTTGGCTCGTAGTCCCGAGCGCGAGCGTTCGGCCGCGGCTCGGGGCGCCGCCGAGACCTCGTCGGAGGCTGGCGTGGCTGGCGAGTTGTTTCTCGCGCGCCTGGCTCTTCGCGTGCCTGCTTTGAGGGCTGGCGCTCCGAGTGCCTGGACAGACGCCCCCGAGGACGATTCGATGAACAATGTATCGGGCGAGGAGTTTGATGCGACACTCATCCAAGAGTTGGTTGCTGTTTCTAGTCATGGTACGACGTTCGTCACTGGTCAGCATAGAGGTTGCACTCGTGGCGGCGTGCTCGGGGATACGCCTGATGATGCCTCTTGGGGTCGCGGTGTCAAGGAGCCGAGTGGGGAGTTGAAATATTTCCAAGCGTGGTTTGCTGAGCATTTTGTTCAGATAGATGGTGGCCGCATCGCGCGTCGTCCTACAGATGATGCGCACGTTCCTGTCAGTGCAGGTGCTGGCAGCTCGACGAGCAGGAAGAAGCCTCCAGAGCCGCCGCTGCCTCATCCGCGTGCTTGCGATTGTGCATGTTCCTTCGGTGCTGGCTCGTCGGCTCGTTTCATCGTTCGTGCTTGCAGTGACTGTGGGCACGAGACCAAAAAGGGGGGATGTGAGGCGCTGCGCCAGCCGGGCGAGTGTCCTCGTGACCTTGTTGACAACAGGGGTAGTAGCAAGGGTGTCAGCCCCGCATTGGGTTGCCAATGATTGACGCGCAATGGTGAGCAGCCTCTGTGGGCTCATTCAGGAGAAGAGGGAGACGCCGACGAAGGTCGAGCGCGCCACCGACCTCCAGGCCGAAGCAACAGGGAAGATCGTCGAGAGTGACCGCGCGTCGGCGCTGATGAGCTCAGGATCGTTGTGCAGATGTTCACCGAGCGTGCCATGTCGATCGGTCAAGGCGCGGGCGACGTCGGCGCTGGCGAGTTGACTGCGTTGCTCCACAATTTTGAATCAGCAACAGCTGGGAATGAGTCCATCGCGTTCGCGGCGCCGTCCTCTCCAGCTTTGAATTTCTTGTCGGTGATTTCCGGACTCAGAATGGTAGACGTCTTCAAGGATGGAGGTGCGTGGGCTGTCCTGGACGAGCGTTCAATTTTTTGGCGCGGCGAAGCTTGGGCTTTCGATGCAGAAAAGGTTGGCGATTCGATGTCATCCCGATTCTTTTTGCCGAGCTCGGAAGACTTATTCCGGAACTCGTTGTCGGGCTGGCAGTTCCACGACGGGTGGGAATTTCTCCCAACCATCCTGTGGTGTTGGGTCCTCGTTTTGAAGAGACGGTGCCCGGCGTTCCTCTCCCCCTCCCCCTCCTCCTTCTTCCCATCGTCATCATCATCATCATCATCATCGTCGTCGTCATCATCATCATCATCACCATCATCATCATTATCATCGTCATCATCATCGTCATTGTCACCCACGCCCATTTCGGTACACCCCTCATACGTTTCGTGGCCCCGTAGGGAGCTCCACCGAAGGCTCCAGTGGCAGGGTCCGCATGCCTTCCCATTACCCATTTCGGCACACCCCTCACACGTTTCGTGGCCCCATAGGGAGCTCCACCCCAGGGTCATGCACGTTTCGTGGCCCCATAGGGAGCTCCACCGAAGGCCCCAGTGGCAGGGTCCGCATGCCTCCCCACCACCCATTTCGGCACACCCCTCACACGTTTCGTGGCCCCATAGGGAGCTCCACCGAAGGCCCCAGTGGCAGGGTCGCATGCCTCCCCACCATTCATTTCGGCACACCCCTCACACGTTTCGTGGCCCCATAGGGAGCTCCACCGAAGGCC